GGGTGTATACAACAAACGTTTATAAAATAGCGTGGGCAGAATGGTTAACTTTAATTGGTCTAAAATGAGTCATTTGAGAAGATTTGAAACCAGAACAACCTTTTTATGAAAATAAATATGCAATTGAAAAATATTTAAACGACATTTTCACATTGTAATAGTTAAAAATATCTTAGACTGAATAAATTAATGTAGTAAGCAAACTTAAAAAAATAAATGAAACAAGAAAAATATAACATACATTTGTATATCATATATGTACAATTGCATACAAAATATTGTAATAGTTGATATATTCAAAAAGGATACTATGTGTTGATATTTTCTCTTTGCAACTGAGTTATAATGAAAGTATGCCAAAATCATTTCATAGCATGCAATAAAATTTATTATGTACAAGTCTATATTTAAGTAGTACATGTAAATTCTATAGTGCTGGGGAAAAACAGAGTCTATAAAAAAAACTCATTTACCTATAATAAGATTAAATCACTGGAGAATAATTAATAACATTCAATCAAATTACACTTTTCATGCAACATTTACTAACTTTAATAATAGACAAATGATACATGTAGCTGCAGATATGCAAAATTTGTAGTTTTTATCCGTACCCCCATCCTGTAGTTGCAAGACCATGATTTGCGAACCAAATTTAAGAGCTTAACCTATTGTAAAAAAAAATCCAGTATGAGTACAAAAAAATTCGAACAGAAAATGTCCGTTTACTTAGGAGACAAAATAAATAATAATAAATCACGTGTATTTGGTAAGTGTTCTTGAATAAAAAAATGTATAGAATGAAAGATGAAAAATGTACAAAATAAAGATAAAAACAAATAAAGTAAAAAAAATATTCTTATTATTATTTCAAATTGTTACCAGAACCAAACTGTTGCAAATGATGTCGGAAAATATGTCAGTCAAATTCAATCATACATACCTTATTTTAAAGGAAGTGGACTTGTGAATTTAGAGAGTGCCTCTTTCCTTTCTTTTGATCTATTCTGAGGTCATATTAAAGCATCGTCACGGAATAATACAAAATACTTCATGTGATTAAGTAATACTTTTACCTTTCACCTTGATTAATAAGAAGATTTTACATTATTCATAAACGTATACATTTTTTGTGAACACGAAACAATTAATTTATTAACTAGTTGTTAGTGTGTAAGCAAAAATGTAGTAGAATCCGTGCTGTGACGTGTAATGTAAACGAAAATTAAACTTTTACGTGAATGAGGAATTAGGTGGAACTTTTAAGTCCTTTTACGATAAAGTCTTTATGCGTTTCGCATATATTACTTTTTTAATTGTATGTAAGAGATGTATAAGGCTGATTGAAAGGCTAGTGTGTAAAGTTTCTGCTTTGCTGCATGTAATCATATAGAATGCTCAGTATGTATTTCCATTATTAGCTTATCAATGTAAAACAATCATCATGGGTGATATAATGTAAATGAGGATCAGAAATCCTTTTTTAAAAATGCAACAAAGCTGATGATTTATTCGCTACTGTTTTATTACAAAGGTTAGCTGGAAATTCAAATAATATCAATACAAAAATTAATTCATTCTCGATCAAATCCGAAAATTCTCTCCCTACTCAAGATGGTCACTTTATATAGAATACAAAAGTGGTACATGTGCGTACATCTTAATTGTTCAAACATCTGTTTCGAGACTTCCTTATTCATAACGTGGAAACAATAATTCGAAGCACTTGAATAGGCAGATCAAATGAGAAATGGAAGTTAAGTTCTCATTTGAGTGATTCTGTGTTTGGGGTTCACAGATATTTATAACGTCCCCTGCATTTCTCATTTCTATTTACCATAGATGTTTTATGTAATCCAAGGTAAATATTCCTGCAGAAACAACTTCGAAGAACCTGCATACGCCGCAATGACGCTATTGAAAGGCGAAGATTCCGTATAGTTGCATGTGAAAACGTATTCCAGTACCGTATTCCTTTACCCATATGATCAAGTGGAAATGTATTCCAGTACCGTATTCCTTTACCCATATGATGGAAACGTATTCCCGTACCATTGCACGTGGAATCGTATCCCCGTACCGTATACCCTTACCGTATGCTTTGAGCACTCTACATTAGCCTACTTTGTTATTAAATTGTACATGAGCTTTGCCTTCCATACTGTTAAAGCATGTTCGCTTGTGTTTGATTAGCATTGACCAATGTTTTGATAGACATCCAAAGATTCATTTTTTCTTTCAATTAATAATGATTCTACATATGCGTCTTTTGTTCATATTGTAAACTTTGGTAACTTCTGTTCTTTTTTAAACATAAAGTTTGTAAGAGGTAAGAGGTCTAACTGCATCAAGCTCTTTGTAGCTATTTTATTATTAGTTATAAAGATTTTTGACAGGTTAAATGGCCCACGGTTGTTTGGAAATATTGATCTATTGTTTATATTGCAATTAACCGTTTATTTACGTCCATATAATCCGTCAAAAATGCTTATAACGAATTCATAATACAGCAAGCAACTTTATTTAGAGAAAAAAAGTGAGATTTCTTCATAATAGAAAGCAGCCGTGAATAAAAAACTATAAACGTCGCGATTATCCAATGTAAAACGACGTTACAAACGTGCAGTATTATAAATACAAATATTAGTTTTAACTTGAACGTTCCTCATTCAGATCGATTCAATAAACTTAAATATTTATTCTATTTAAAAAGTCGAGTATTAGCAAGTTAAAATGACAGGGCGGGGAGCAAAAGCACGCTTATTATCGGGGCGCGGGGCGAAAAGTGGAGATTTAAATGTAATACGGCGGACCGAGAAACGAAATATTATTGTGAAAGGGCTGTTGTTCGCGCCCCGCCAAATTATTCTTAAGGAAGTTTTCCGGAGTTTTCATATAGACATACAGGCAAAATGAAAACTGTTAACTAATAGAATTTCTTTAAACTTGGCATGTTGTTAGAATATAATAACAGAAACATTTTAAGTGAAAAAAAAATTGGGGTCACCGCTCTCGTTTTTGAGTTATCTGCCCCTCAATCAGAATTTTCTTCTTATTTGAGGTCATTTCAAGGGCAGATAGCATATACATACTTAAATTAATTCTTGTTTTTACTTCTGGATTATGTTTTTCTTTTTATTGTTGAATATGGTTTCTGTTATTTTTTTCAATGAAAATAAAGGTACTTTAACCCTTTCCCTCATATATACGCGAAAAAACGCACTTTCGACCCCCCCCCTCCCTCTTTAAGGCCTCAGATAGTGAAAAAATGTCCTGTTCGGGCCCCAAACACATGTTTTCGTTTGAGAAATGTTGTGAAAAAGTGACAAAATTTTCGGCGCGGCCGCCCAACCAAAAGATACATCAGGTGGTTGCCAGAAGGGGGGTTTGCCCCCTTGTGTTTGGGGGGTTTGAAGGGGGAGGCAGTCCCCCTCATCGCCAGGAAAATTTTGGACTTGTGAGAGGCTAAAAATGACCCCAGATCGATCACAAGGTAACGTGTAACCAACGCTGAAAAGCATTTGACTCTGTCTCAATCCATTGAGAAGTTGCAGCACTTTGTAATCAATTTTGATGGAAAAAATCAACGCAATACATTGTATAGTGATTTTTGGCAATTTTGATATGACCCACGTTGCCATGGTAACAGGAAATTTTAGACGGAGCATGTTGTTAGAAGGGCAATGGTCTAGTCAACATTTGTGCCAAGTTCGATTAGTATTGAAGCAGTTTTAATAGTTTTATAGCAATTTGAACTTATAACGGGAGACTTTTCAATGAAAACAGCCATTTTTCAAAAAATGCTTATGAAGTAATGGGTTAATGAAAAAAATAAAATTTTCTACAAAACAACAATTTTTCTTCAAATGTATATGTTAGGCCATGTTTTAACATGGGAAAACGTGATTTTTTGGTCATTATAGGTATTTTCATCATTTTTTGTTAACCCTTTACCTCATATATACGCGAAACAACGCACTTTCGACCCCCCCCTCTTTTAGGCCTCAAATAGTGAAAAAATGTCCTGTTTGGGCCCCAAACACATGTTTTCATTTGAGAAATGTTGTTAAAAAAGTGACCACTTTTTCGGCGCGGCCCCCAACCAAAAGATACATCAGGGGGTTGCCAGAAGGGGGATGTGCCCCCTTCTGTTTGGGGGGTTTGAAGGGGGCGGCAGTCCCCCTCATCGCCAAGAAAATTTTGGACTTGTGAGAGGCTAAAAATGACCCCAGATCGATCATAAGGTAACGTGTAACCAACGCTGAAAAGCATTTGACTCTATCTCAATCCATTGAGAAGTTGCAGCACTTTGAAATCAATTTTGATGGAAAAAATCAACGCAAAATAGTGATTTTTGGCAATTTTGAGATGTCCCCTCGTTGCCATGGTAACAGGAAATTTAAGCCTGAGCATGTTGTTACAAAGGCAATGGTCCAGTCAACATTTGTGCCAAGTTTGATTAGTATTGAAGCAGTTTTTATAGTTTTATAGCAATTTGAACTTGTAACGGGAGACTTTTCAATGAAAACAGCCATTTTTCACAAAATGCTTATGAAGTAATGGGTTAAATTCTTGAAAATAGGCCATTTTTAAGAAAAAATGCACAGGTTAAAAGAAGAAGTGAAAAAAAATATCCACTCTAAATTCGTTCTTGAAATTTTGCATATCGACTAAAACGAAGGTAAGCTTCTTGAAAAACAAGAAAAAAAATTGTATTGTTTCCCATCATTGTAAAATTATCTGCCTTTGAATTTAACGAAAAAGTCCAATTCAAGGGCAGATAACTCGAAAATGAGAACGGTGACCCGAATTTATTTCAGTTTAAAATGTTTCTGTTATCATATTCTAACAACATGTGAAGTTTTAAAAAATTCTATAGAACAGTTTTAATTTTGCCTATATGTTTATTTGAAAACTCCCCAAAACGTTCTTAATTTTATAAAAACCTCGACATTTTGTTTATTCTCGACTTTTCGCATGGCTAATTATGAGAAATATGTTTAAACCAAATAAACTTTGTGCTCTCTAGGTAGTTTAATGTTGTGTAAAAGTTGATATACATTTGTATTTCAATATGTAACGTTATTGCGTCGTATAAAGAGGAAAATAAGTTTCTAAATCCTAAAAAGATTCTTAGATTATAATTGTATTCTTTGAAATTGGAGATTAAGGGGTTTTTACAATGGCTTTACAACTATATCCGTCAGAAATCTTTTATTCACAAGACAGCATTAGCTGTCGTTTCTCTGACGGAAATCTAATCGGCGAGACACTTGACGAATTATGTGAGGGCAGGTAAGATTTATAACTTGTAATATTAGGATAAAGACAAAATTTGTTCAATTTAAATTTTAACTTCGTATGTAAACATGACAGTGTATCATTCTAACATTTTCTATATGAACAAAGAAGACCAGTCACAACAACGCACTTGCCGTTCTTACTGCCTCCCCCTTGAAAAACTTATTATTAGACATCGCTTGCAAGCGGCGTCTAGTAGATATGCATTTGTCCATACAGCAATGGGGAAAATTTTAAACTTGATTTTGTGTATATTCTTTTGTTTTAACAAAATCACACTGTTCTCAAATTTTCTAATAGAATAGCTTTTCTGGTGTACAACATGTCACGGAGCTTTATGGGATTTGAATAAACGTCTGAAATGATAATGTCATGTTTGAAAATCATATTCTTATTATCATTATCTAATTTTATCTACTTAATAAATAACGTTCCAATGAGCCAGTCTATAGTCGATTGTTCTAAAACTTAACCGTTGAAAGAGGTTATGACTGAGGCAGTGTCACTTACTTCATTTGCTCCGCCTCTGTTGAAGTTCGGCTCCGCCTTAAATTGTCGCAAAAATTTAAAATGATGCCCCGTATGCTAGCATTTAGTATTCGTTGACGGGGCAGAAGGGAACCAGGACAACTTTAATCAATATCACTTCATTAAATTACAAGTCACAAAGCCTAAACCACACCCATTATCAGAGAGGCGGTTCTTCCGCAACCGTAAACTCGTTACGCGGAGATCACTGCAGAACAGTTCGTCCTCAAAATCATTCGAACATTATGCAATTCGTACCAATATTTGAATGGATATATTCTCGGCACTTATTTCTTGAATTCATTTTAAATATACCAATGAATTCAATTTTACTTGTTATCCAATTTATTTTGCTTCGATCAGACGTTTCAATCTTTGTCGCAACAGAAAAACATTTTAGAATTTCAGACATGGCATTACTTTGTGAATTTATGCATTAGGTTCTACATTTTCACAAAAATATGCAACTTTATTATTAAACAACGAGCACATACAAAGAACATGGCGAGAAAATTTGAGCTATGCTTCGGATATTCAACTGTAATAGAGAACGATTTTCAATGCTGATTGACTGTTCACATCATTTGGCGGCGTCTTTGATGTGCAGCATCAACATTTAACTTGTACATAATTTTAGTTTTGTTTAGAATTAGATCATTGTCTTAGTTTCTTATTAATTCACTATATATTATGTATATAGATTAAGAAGTCACTTTTATATTATGGTAAAAATTTTTTTTTTTGCTAATCTGTGCATGTAACTTCAAATTTGTACCATTTATAGACAAATCACTCACCCATCAGTAGCTATAGATTATAAATAGTTTTTATCAGATTATTATGAAATTTGGTAACCTTGTTGTTATTTAAACAAAGTGCATATACATGTATATACAAATATAATCACTATATACATGCGTCCGAAATAGGGTTATGATCAAGGAAATTCCAAACACTGTTTCATTGTAGTAGTTGTTGAACTTTTTCCGAAAGATTCGTTGACCGAGTTATCCGCTTAAACTAAAAAATATTTTTCAAGTACATAATTATTGTTTTATTTGTAATCAGATTGTTTTTCTTTTGTGTGTGTAACAATAAATAAACACAAACAACTTCAGGAACGTGCTTAAAATTTCTCATTTATCTAGAAGAATTATCGACAGTTATGTCACTGTTAGGGATATATTATGCCGTACCTAATATCAAGCTAAATTGTGCCCGAGTTGGTTCTGCACATCGCATTTTCATGGTTACGTCAGCATTTTTTCTTTTCTTACATTATTTTTGGTTTTAGATATTTTTCAACGAATTGTATTTTAGTTTCTCGTGAATTTATGTCAAACAATACTATTTGAGAACATTTAGATTTACACACATTCGATTTAAACAGGTTAGAGGCAACAGTCGTAAATAGAGTGATCATTGAGGAATGGAAGAAATTTAAATATATTTATATACAAATGATCCAAAATTGTTAAAAAAATATGCTGCAAATTGATTTCAGAGTTTTAAATGGGAGTTTTAAATAGCATGTCAATACTATTCAATCTTTTCAATGACTGTTAAAATCAAATACATTCAAATTTGCTAAACCGTTATAGATCTATGTATTTAACTTTAAATTGTACAACATAATAAATCACTGCTTATAAAAGAGAATATGAAAATGATTTCTGAAAGAAAAACCATACAGACGCAAAAATATAGTGCACAATTGCAGATTTGAACTCGAAAAAAAAAACGTTTTCTTAACATAAACTTTTCATAATTTGAACTCTCTAACCACTACGCTACTCGGACTAACGTGCCCATACCGACTTTTATTCCTTTATCTTGTAATAAAAATGCAAATAATTGTAATAACGGAATTACTAATGCACAACCCATTATATCAAAATGGTACGACCGATTAATGTAAACGTAATCGTGTTCGATTTATATTTCCATTGTAACATGAAAATAAAAAAGAGAATTGATTTGGTATTTTGACATCATATCTGACATCATATGACTTTTAAGCATGTCCATATATCACTTTAATAATATTATGCAATTTATTACATACCCGTGCCGCTTTTGCGACTCCGTAAAAAATGGTATTGCACGGCCGTGCATATACACCGTGTAATCCAGTAACGCCGGAATGTGAAAATAACGCACGATTCGCAGAATTGTGCAATATATCGTGGATACCTGATATGATTTCCAACACGGTAAGAAAACTGGCCAATATATTTTTATTTAACAGAACTGAAAAAAATCAATAGCCGCAAACGGCTGCAAAGACATAACTCTTTATCCCTCATCAAGATTATTTCCATGAAATTGTTTACTTTTCAAGATCATTCCTGAAAATGATGACTTCACTATCGTTTTGAGCGGAATTTTGGCTTTTTGTCGGCTCTTATAAGTACAGCAATGCATATTATACCGTATAATTTCAATTTTCGGTAGGCAAGTGACATGAACCTAACTTCTTGTGATATAGAAAATTGAAATTAAACTGATAAAATGTGATTCAAGCCGTTTTTATGAGCCTCATTGAGGTAACGCCGATGTACGTGAATTGTGCTTCGCGGTAACGCTGGAAAATGTGATTTGTTTCTTATATGGTACAAAATTATTACACTTTATTTTAACGCCTTTTATCGGCGAATATTATCAAATTATTTGCGACCTATTGTCAATGTATTTTCTTCGTAACTTATTAAGAAATATGTGATAGTTAGATCTTGACAAACTTTCAGCATTTTGATTACATATAGTTGACAATTGTTTCCTGAAATAAAATTATTATTTGTGAACATGCTGCCCACGTCTGATCTTGTTAGAAAATAACAACAATAAGCTTAGTTTGCAAATATATTGAATATAAAAATAAAAGAAAACAATCAAGAGAAGAAGTGTGTGTATATTTTATGCCTGTAATGTTTGAAAGTCTCCATATCTCCTATATTGTGTTGGCGTGATGCGAAACCAAACCAAAACAAATATTTGGCTGTAGCACTTTGCCTGGTGAATTTCTGTAAAAATGGATTCTTTATTTAATTTATTTTTTTCTGTAATATATGGAAGTAACTTGTATTCAAAACTCAAAAAGATAATTTGCTTAGAAACTATACTAGTAATGCCCAAAACTTGTAAAAGATAACCTTATTGTCCTCTGCTTTAGTTGAATAAATTAGAACCCCTGGGCTACTCTTAAGGTTTCTTATTATATGTTAACTTGTATGGGAAAAACATATGAATCTACCGTAAGAGTTTATGCTAGGCATTACCATATACTTTTACAAAACGTATAGGACTAATGAACCTTAAAGAGGCCACCAGTACAGAGCCAGGTCACATCCATACGAGTGACAATTTTCTAACTCAGGTAGCTCATTTGTACAAATACATTAAATATCTAATAGCAATCTCTCAGACTTAGAATGAACTGTTCCAAGTTTACAGCTGAGCAAAACCATTTCATAAATTTACCAGGTAAAGGGTGACATAGACTAAAGATAGGTTGAATATATTTTGGTTACTTACTCAATGTACATGTATATGGATAGCTAATAGAGATGTGTTTGTAGAAGATTTCATCTATCCATGCCATGATGGTCTTAAAGCTGCATGCATCCAGATGACCCAAAATATTTCAAGAAAATTAAACTTGGAAAAACCATACTAAATCTTTGAGAAAAGTGATCAAATTAAAGATTCAAGTGATAATTTATATCTTATGTGCAATTAATGACTGTATTTTGTCGTATTTATCACCATATTTTCTACTGCGTTACTAACGCAGTAAGGGGCTATTTATGCATATTTTGACCTCTTTTTGGTAATTTACGTGGATTTTAAGAGCCGATTGTAATGTGTCAAGTACTGTCTTTGTTCATTTCACAATATTTTACCTTTAAATACATTTTCAAAATTTTCATGAAAATTAGGATGAATCTGGAGGCGTGCTGCTTTAAAGTGGACTTCTTCATGAAGAGTGAGAACAATGAAAAATCCTATAATTTAACAAACCCAATTTTCACAACTGCCATCTCAATAGGTATTGAGAAATTGCTACCCCGTTGCTACCCCGTTGTTTCCTTGAGTAAGAAAATGTTCATGCATTGCTTCGTACTCACTTCAACAAAGATATTAGGAAGCTTATAACTCTGTGGTTTAAGGGACGGATTCGATATATCTTGTTTTTCTACGCAATCAAAATGAAATAAATTCTGTATAAAAAGAATTAAAGTTTCCCTAAAAAATTATTTGGAAAGTGCTGATTCTCGCCGATTAATGGCGTTAAACATGTGTAACTGTTCAGTACCATATATGAAAAAAATCACATTTTCCGGCGTTACCGCGAAGCATTTTTCACGAACATCGGCGTTACCTCATAAAAACGACTTAAATCCCATTTCATCAGCTTACTTCAATTTTCTTTATCACAAGAGTTTGAGAAAATGTCACTTGCCTACCTAAAATCAAAATAATACCGTATAAAATGCATTTTGTACTTATAAGAGTCGACAAAAAGCCAAAATACCGCTCAAAACGATAGTAAAGTCATCATTGTCACGAATGATCTTAAAAAGAAAACAATTTCTTGAAATAATTTTGATGAGGGATAAAGAGTAATGTCTTTGCAGCCGTATGCAGCTATTCATTTTTTCAGTTCGGTTAAATAAGAAATATATTGGCCAGTTTACTTACCGCGTTGGAAATCCTGTCAGGTATCCGCCAATTATTGCACAATTCTGCGTTACTTATTGCACAAATCGTGCGTTTTTCACATTCAGGCGTTACTGGATATACACGGTGATATATATATATTTTGACGTGAAGTCATTTGCGTTATGCCAACATAGTGTAAAGATGCGCTAAATGTTAGCGTAACTACAAGTGCTTCAATGAAAATTGAATAAAATTGAATCTCCTGCTAGCATAATACTGTTTTATTCAACGAGTTCGATAAATTTAGTATTGAATCTACACGAATACAATATTCTTCTAATCACATTACTAAAATAAGAACAGTTTACAGTTAAGAATGTAATAGTACATTTTAAATTCTAGTGTAATGCCAACATAAGCGCTTGAGCGCTATGTTTAAGAAATAATATCGGATCTACCGGCTATTTAACACCGACTTGGAGTTTTGTGTCGTAGGAATTGGCCACGAAGACCGTTTTTGCATTAAAACGACAAACCCGTTGATAATAGACGATAAATACCGCTCAACCCGATATTATTTCGATTCTAACAAAGATTACTAATGCTATTTTTTTTTCAAGCGGAGATTACTTGCCGAATTTCATACATCGCACCCTACTGTTGCTAAGATATAGACACTTTTAAATAAAATTGATAATAAAAAATAAAAGATATTTTATAAAGTTTTCAATAATTAAAACTTACGAGTCAGACTGGATTGTATAGTGTATACATCAGCGCTCTTTAAATGAGACCATTCTAGCGCCTTTATGAATGAGTTGTATACTTACGATGACGCCGATTTGGTATAATTAATAGATATCAACATAATAAACTTTATGAATAGATATTGATCAAACCTGTGGTGGTAGTGTATGTTAGATATTATTTTAGCATTTACGTTGTACAAACGGAAAATATAAATGAAAATGTGTGGTTATTATTATTGTCTTTAAAAATTGTTAACTATATTATCGAGGGAGTAAAATTAACAGCCGCATATACCTGCACCGTGGATTATGTGATATTATAATTTTATTTAACTCGTTCAATTAATTCTGTATTGCACCTGCACTCATTCCTTAATTGGTAGCCCTATCTGTATCATAGGGGAACGTGTTAGAATGCATATTTACAACACTTTCGGTCCTTCTATGTTCAATAGGGAAAAATGCGGATCGTGTTGGAATGTACAATATTGCACGGCAGTCGTTCAGCTGTTAGTAATAAGTTACTCAGGCCGACGGTCTTCGTGATTTTTTTTTAATGCGCCATACCGTGCACTATTATACAACGCACTCTAAAACAAGATCAATTTCCTTTATCTTAAACATTCAAATATATAAATGCTATAAATTTGTTTAAAACCTTTCACAGGCTCAAAGTATCTGACATAGATCCAATCTCGGTGACGAAAGTAAATGGTCAGTGGATCACATGGAATAACAGAAGATTATGGGTATTTCGTCACCTAGAAAGATTCGGCAAATGCAACAGAATTGCAGTCAATAATATGGTTTCACTGCCCAAATATTTCCACATGACATCCAAAAGTGGAGGACAAGCCGTTGAAGTGAGAGGTGAACCAGGTGGCCGATGGCATAATCAGCGTTCCGCTTGTTCTATTTGCTGAAATCCGGATTAAGTCTTCTTACATTTAAGCTGCCGTAGAGACACTGACTATATAATATTATAACTACACATGAAAAAAAATGAGATTTAAATATTTTGTTATGATATGAAAAACGCATACCATACGTCTATAGAATACTTTTATACTGATGCGAATTTTAGAATCAGTGATTGAAAAATTCAGAATTTCAGGGTTAATGAAATGATAAATGCATATGAATGTTATTTCATACTAGTAATTATTGGCGCCGCCGGGAACGGCGGTCTTATATGGAATGTTTCAAATGACCGGAAGTACCTTGTAGGAGCGGTTTATTGATGTGCTACATGTATAAAGAATGATAATGAAAATTGTTTTATTCAATGTATCTTATACGTTCGAAATGTTGATATTCTGACACAAAAGAAAATCTTTAATTAAAGCATATTTTTTTCTCATAAAACTAAAGATTTGACGCATGTTTTCAAAATATATCTGAGCTTCTCCTGATGACTGGTTTAGTGTATGCCAACTTAAAAGAAAAAAGTTAAGTAGTTATTTATTAAAAGAATTTTGTCACTGTACGTGACGGCGAAATGAACCTCATTGGTTGTCCAGAATGTGTAATAGAATGTTAGCTTTATGTTAACAATTTACATTATTCTAAGCTGTTAGAATTAGTTCATGAGAAAAAATAATACCTAAAGAGTACTTAGTAATACTGAAAACTTGGCTCTTATAGTCTTAAATAATAATTTTTTGAACCGTCAATGGTTTGTTAGATGGCTTGGTTTGTTTGAGCAGTATTAGTCACAATAGACACGTGTGCGCTTAGACTCGCCTGCCACTTTTGCCAAAAGCAATGAAGCGAAAAAAAAGAGACATTATATTCACGTTAAATATGATTAAATTAAATAACGTACACCCGTATAAGGCATTTACAATCTACAGAAATTAGCTGAATATCATAATAAAGCACAAAATACAAATTAAGCTTGACTCTGATAGTGACGGGTTTAAAAATATGGCGGGTAATGTAACAGATAATTAAATTTCAAGGACCGTTTAGCGTTATATGTTAATGAATTGTAAATATATTTAGAATTTTTATCCGGCTGCTTCGCAGATCAGTCTAAAAAGACATTTTACTGCTAAATTACAAGATTTATTTTGCAAGTATTCCATATATATACAAGTACATAAAAACATTCACATATATCAGCTTAAAGGGATACTTGGGCAAGTGAATATTGCAAATCATGTTAAAATGACATTTTTAAAAGTCCTAACAGAAAATTCTGTAAAATTACTATATAATTTGGGCTTGAAGCGTAATTATGTCTCTATATGTTGAACGAAATTCAGACGCCCACATATCACCGAGTAGTTTTAAACTAAAAAAACCTGGAAATTACAAAAGCAGATTATCTAGATATTGTTAAATTGAAATTAGTCTTAGTCGTTCATTTGAAAGGTACTTAAACGATTTCATATTTCTGTATAACAGCTATTGTGAAATTTAAATGCTCTAACCTGACCCACGTTGGAAACTACCATTTTATTCTTTATTAGCAGAAATGTTTTGTTCCTGTGAATGCTTAGTATAATTCATTTCGTGGATATTTATAGAATATTGAAAGAAAAACTCAAATCAAAGAAATTAAGATTTTGCCTATGTCTCCCTTTAACACTCTGGACCCATTTTAGATATCTTTCTCACTTTGATGCAAAACATTTTTATTTGTTTGGGTCGTCAGACCAAACAAAAATGGTAGCTAAATTTCAGACCCTGATGTGCTTATTTGAAAGTAGTCCAAACTCCTCGAAGCGGTTACTTCCCTTTATAACTACAATAACGCCGAAAATTTTAGTGGAAATCACTGCGTAGAGATTGTCAAATGACAGGCGCATTAATTCTCGGTATGAAAAAATAGTTCCCGACTGGTCGAAGAATGGAAAGGGCTCCGTATACACATACACTATGAAGGGCGTTCGTTGCCAAATTTCCAGACATGTAAAGTGTTCCTTTTGAAAACTATTTTTTAAAAATGCGAAGGTGCATGTCTAGCATTTTTTTATTGTATTCGTGCACAGCAAATAAAATACCTCATGATTGAAGGCACGCGCTTTTAAATAACAAGTTTACATGTAAATCTTAACAACTGACTTAACATGGAATACAACAACAAATTTACAAGCTCGTACCTTCCATTGAATATAATACATAAGAATGTTTGCACACTTATAGATATCTATCTGTACCTGAAATATACAAATGAAATATTAAACTCAAATACAGAAAATATTTAACACATAAGCTGGATCTAGTGATAATGCAAAAAGTACTGAAAATATTTTTATGAAACTTGAAATATGGGTAGTGGCAGTATGGAAATTATACATGTCTTTTTCATTCACCTATTTTGAAAAATAATTGGTTGCCATGGCAACAAATAGGCTTAAAACATGGCAAATATAACAATATTTATGTTTAGTAAAAAAAAGCTGATTTTTTTTATGAAACTTAAAATATGGATTTTAATCTTGACTATAGGGATTATTTTCAGAGCTGTCATACTTTACAAACGTCGGCAACCAGATTTCTGATTCTAGTTTTTAGGCTTTTTCACTATAAGTTTTTTTTAAGCTATTTATTTCAAACTTCAAACATAAGTTTCTGGTCATCAACCACATTATATGAGACAAGGTTTTAACTCTAGCACAAAAATTACAGAATTGCCTCCCTTGAACTTACATGAAAAAAAAGTTTTTAATAACTTTTTTATTTCTTAATGTATCTTCTTCAAACTTCATATATATGTTTCTTATTATCAGAGAAGGTTCAATACTCTAGCAAGACTATTTCTAGAATTATGCTCCCCTTGAACTCAGATGTTTTTCGAGACTTGGTATATTTTACTACAACTTCTTCATTACTTTTAGGATATATTTCAAACTCCCACATCATTAGAATATGACAAGGTTTATAAATCTAGCATCCTTATTTCAAGAATTATCTCCTCCTTAAACTTTGAATTTTTCTTATTCATTCTTTTAACTTTCTTTTACTTCGAATTTAAAATAAACATTCATTATGAACAGCTTCGTTACTAATTGTTCTCTGTTACACTCACATCATGTATGACATCTTGGATCTTTATTTCAAGAGTTAGTTCAAGAATTTTGCTTTTACAAATGTGATATTTTGGTAACAGGGATGTTTAAAGGATCACTTTAAAGTGTCCTTCAGTCTGTTTGTTCATAAAAACTGTTTCCTGTGATCACTTTTAAAGAACTTTTCCAACAAATTTTCTTAAAAAAAGAGAAAAACTGAAACATAGGTGAATGGCCAATAACCTGTTTCACATAGGTTTAAAACTTTAAACATTTATCAAATATATCCGTTTTGGATTACATTTATATCATATGATACTATACATATATATGTAAGTTAAACACAACATTAATGTATTTATACTTAAAGAGTTTGTCGCTATGACCTTCTCCGATATTATCATCATGCTGTGCTAAGTAATCCATATTTATTTATGTATGTATGTGCACTGTTAGTTGTCTTGTATTATGCTATTAACATGTCATCGTGGGCTTATAAGCCGTATATTATTGAAATATAACTATCTCTCTATTATCGCGTGAAACGCGCAATGGTATATTTGAAAAATTTAACAGATCTGTCATAAACGCATCATTGTCAAGATATGGATCATAAAAAAAATCGAAATCTGAGTCAATTACAGAAAAAATACTTGGTGGAATATATGTACAACATTAATATACATTTTCTGAAAAACTAATCAATTCTTTGGATAATTACAACCAAATAATACCATTTTGATTTGTTTCTATAGTACGCATATATTGATGAAGCGATTGCTTATAATAAACTGAAATACCCCCGCTGTATCTGCATTACGGGTTTTATTACCACATAAATGTATACTGTCATATTGTTAAATATCTAAATTAATGTCAAAATATTTTAATAACCACGTTTCCTGCAAGAATACAATGTCATAATCTGTCACAATTTTTAAGAAATCTGGATCACATTTTCTTCTTAACAAACCATTGACATTCCATGAAAGTATTTGAATGTCCTTTGCCATCAAACCATCTCTTAGTAATTCTATTGTTTTAATATACTTGTTTATTTGTTAATTCTCGACTTTTCGCGTGGCGGGGTCGCGGGGAAACAACACGAATGGCACAAATCAGCCACCATATTAACCATATAGATGGAAATTAATTCTATAAGGCTCGTCTTTTATTCAACTATTTTTTTTTTTACCTATGCGAAGTCGTATTATTTTATGGACATTATGGTAGAAATATGTTTAAACCAAATAAACTTTGCATGTCTCTAGGTAGTTTAATGATATCGCTGTATACGTATACTTGGTGTTAAACTGTTAAAGTGGATATACATTTGTATTTGAATATGTTTAATATAAGTTTGATATAAGTTTATGTTCAATTTTCCATAAGGCCATTTAGCCCATGAGGATATACAGTGAATTATACTCGTATATGGCAAGATAGTATATAGCATAAAAGTACAAAACAATTGAAACAGCGGAGAAGGTTTACAAATAATTACATGTCTTCCTAATTAGTATATGACATCAGATATTCTTAACGAATTCCTTTTGGGTATAATTTTAATTTTAAAATAAGAACATTTACAATGGCTTTTTAGAACAAGATATCTATGTTTCTTTTCAACCGAAATTAAAACATGTTGTACGGCATATAATGTCAATTCCGAGTAAAATGTAACATATACCCACGTGAAATTTCACATCGAACAATATGGTAACCGAAACTCTATTTTATAAAGTATATTTAGCCTTAATTATAATGCATTCGATATTGACATGCAATATATAGTAAATCAAAGCAACCTATTACTTGGGGAAAAATCTACTTCATTTTTGTACTTTGAGTACACGCAATCACATCAAAAGAAAGGTTTATTTATACATTTATCTTCAATTCAGGTACAATCAATATATAAAGCAAGAAGAGTTATTGTGTGGTATAAAGAGGAAAATAAGTTTCTAAATCCTAACCAGATTCTTAGATTACAATTATATGTTCTTTGAAATTGGATAGTAAAGTTTCTATAATGGCTACAATTATATCCGTCAGAAATATATTATTCTCAAGACAGCATTAACTGTCGTTTCTCTGACGGAAATCTAATTGGCGAGACTCTTGACGAATTATGTGAGGGCAGGTAAGTTTGATAACTTGTAATATTAGGATGAAGACAAAATTTATAATGTACTGTTTCATTGTAGTAGTTGTTGAACCTTTTTCGAAGAGTCGTTGACCGAGTTATCAGTTTCAACTAAAAAATCTTTTACACTATCGGAATTTTTTCATTCTATAGAAAGAAGACCAGTCGCGTACAAAACGCATTACGCACATCTTTGTAGGGAATAAATTTGATAG